ATTATTATTATTTGAGTAAGGTATGAAGTCAAAGGATAAAATCCTTAACTGATTATTGGGAAGTTGTGTGGTATCACGAGGATAGTTAGTGGGATGTACTAACGAGTGACTTGGTTAGTACATGTCAATGTCGTGGCGAAACTATAGCAAATTATATTATTCTTGATGACGGGTACTAGACTTTTCTAGTTTAAGTGATAAAATATGAGAAATCACATTATATTGTGGATTGATATTCAAATTTGATGTTGACCTAGTAAGCCAAAAAGGCCAATCTATTAATTTTTGTTTCTTGGGGTCAAGACACTTAAATTGCTCACCTATGTTGTAAGAAATCTCTTAATTGAATTGTGTGATAATGCATTGTGCTATTGTGTTGTAATATTGTTGTGTTGTTTAGTTGTTGTGATGTTTGTGACACCCTTACTACCTCAACACTGACTTACTCATCACCGGTAGCAGTTTAACTGTTATTGAATCACTCAAGCAAGGTTTGAAGAGTGAATTTGAGATGACTGATCTAGGCATCCTGTCCTATTTTCTGGGAATAGAATTTGCCTACACCGAGAAAGACATCTTTATGCATCAAAGGAAGTATATGTCCAAAGTTCTGAAGAGATTTAAGATGCTGGGGTGCAAACCAGCAGAGACTCCAGCTGAATTGAATGTGAAGCTTGAGAAGAGGGAAGATGAAGGCTCTGTTGATGGAACTATGTTCAGGCAAATTGTTGGTAGCTTGAGATTTATTTGTCACAGCAGACCAGAAATAGCTTTTAGTGTTGGGTTGGTCAGCAGATTTATGGGTGATCCTAGACAATCACATTTGGTTGCAACTAAAAGAATCATGAGAAGGAGCACCATGGGACAAGTTTTCTTGCTGTCAGGATCACCTATATCCTGGAGTTCTAAGAAGCAAACAGTAGTAGCACTATCTACTTGTGAAGTCGAATACATTGCAGCCTGTGCAGCTGCCTGTCAAGCCTTGTGGATATCCTCTCTACTTAAAGAATTAACAGTGTTTACTGGTGAAGCAGTGGATTTGCTGGTAGATAGCAAATCAGCAATTGATTTGGCTAAGAATCCTGTGTCACACGGTAGAAGCAAGCATATAAGGTAAAGAACTGAAAGTCTTGAGATTGAAGAAGGCCTTGTATGGCTTAAAGCAAGCACCAAGGGCGTGGAACAAAAGGATTGACTCTTTTCTCACTGGTTTTGGCTTTCAGAAATGCTCAGTTGAGCATGGTGTGTATATCAAAACAGTAAGTGAAACTGAGATATTGGTATTGTGTTTGTATGTTGATGATTTACTCATCACTGGTAGCAGTTTGACCGCTATTGAGTCACTCAAGCAAGGTTTGAAGAGTGAATTTGAGATGACTGATCTAGGCATCCTGTCCTATTTTCTGGGAATTGAATTTGCCTACACCGAGAAAGGCATCTTTATGCATCAAAGGAAGTATATGTCCGAAGTTCTGAAGAGGTTTAAGATGCTGGGGTGCAAACCAGCAGAAACTCCAGCTGAATTGAATGTGAAGCTTGATAAGAGGGAAGATGAAGGCTCTGTTGATGGAACTATGTTCAGGCAAATTGTTGGTAGCTTGAGATTTATTTGTCACAGCAGACCAGAAATAGCTTTTAGTGTTGGGTTGGTCAGCTTTATTCTTAATGGTCACCTTGTTCAATTGGCAATAATCTACACACAATCTCATGCTACCATCCTTCTTCTTAACTAATAGTACGGGTGCTCCCCAAGGTGATACACTAGGCGTCACAAACCCCTTCTCCAACAAGTCTTCTATTTATTTCTTAAGCTCCACTAAATCTATGGGTGACATCCTGTAAGGTGCAATAGAAATAGGTCTTGTTCTTGGTACTAAGTCTATAGAAAATTCTACTTCTCTTCTAGGCGGTAAGCTAGACATATCATCAAAGAAGACATTCGAAAAGTCACGCACAACAGGCAATTCATTCACCAAAACATTATTCTCAAAATTCAAAGAAGCTAACAACATGTACACTAGGGCATCCTCTTGCAAAGATACCTTAACTTGGTTGGCAGTCAAATAATCCTTACTCACTTTTTCAACAGGCTCACAAAAAATAATAGATTTATCAGCACAATTCAAAAGGACATGATTGGAAGATAACCAGTCCAAACCCAGAATGACATCTAGCTGATTTAGAGGCAAACGAATTAAGTCAACCATGGAATCTCCACCATCAATAATCAAAGGACACTTTAAACAAATATCAAAAGTAGGAACTGAACTACTAGTTGGTGTCTCTATTATTAATTCAAAAGACAAAGCAGAAACAGGTAATTTTAATTTGGACACACACGCATGCGATACGAAAGAGTGAGTCACACCAAAGTCATACAAGACAATTTTAGGAGTTCCATCAATGAAACACATACCCTGGATTAAGTCTTTTGATTGAGTACCTTCAGCACCAACCGGAACGGCCCGTTCTCAACTACATTTTTTAGGAAATTTCTTTATTCCGGAACAGCCCGTTTCACTTTCGAAACGGCCCGTTCCAGGCAACGAATTGGGCCCACGGCCCAGTGAAAATTTGGGTTGTTACAATGTTGGGTGTTGATAAGTTGTGTTGTTTATATAATAAGTTGCAAATGATGATGAGTTGTAAATCTAAGTTATATGTTGATTATGTGCAACTACACTCGGCATTTGGCCATAGTTGTTTTGAAATAATAATCAATGTCTTTTAAGTTGTTGTGTTGTTCATAGTTGGTTGTTGTAGTGTTGGTGTGATGAAGTTGTTGTTGTAGTTGTATCTTACTTTTATATTATGTGTTATTTTATTGTGTATAAGCTTACCTTTGCATTTTCTTTATTATTGGACTGTGAAGGTCATATTATTATGGGAGCAGGGTAGAATTAAGTTGGAGGGCAAGCTGAATTTTTCAACTACCATGTTGAAGATGGTGGTTTTGTGTTGGTGGTCGTTCTGACATAGCTTGTATAGTAGTTGCTTGACGAACAACTTAAGGTTTATGTTTACAATTTTGGATTATTGTGTGTGTGTCTATCTATCTATTTATCTCTGTGTGTGTGTGTATATATATATATATATATATATTATTGCATGTATATCCAGGAATTTTTTGCATGGTAATCCTAGGTAATTAGATTTATATTTTTCGTTGTTTAGTTGTTAAGTTGTAAAGTGTAAGAACCTATCGGGTCGTTATAATATCAAGCTTAAGTTATAAAAGATATAATTGAAGTGTGTAAGAGTTGGTCCAAGAAAGGATGAGGCGTATAAGAAAAAACTTGAAACGGGAACTTCATAAGTTTCAAAACTCAAATTTTCTAGAGAGAAGGTCTTTAGGATTCCAAGTTGTTGTTTGATTTTATAATCGTCCTTGGAACTATAGATCCTCCCCAGATTGAAGTATCTTGAAACCAAAAGAACGTTGTAGAGTTGAGATCCTAAGAATCAAAGTCGTGAGAGCTTTGGTTAGGAGTTGTAAAGAAAGTTTCTCTTTTACCTCAATTCTTCTTGTAGTAGCTCAACTGAGGTAAAGGGAACTTAATTTCAGCTTATACATATTGTATAAAGGTAGGTGTTGTTATATGTAGATGAATCATTAATTGAATTGTTGAGATTTATGATATTCATGTGTTAAGTTTTGAAGGGTTTAGGCAAAAATCTTGATATGTTAATTTTGGCACCCAAACCTTGTTACATGTTTTGGTTTTTGTTGCTAGATATGATGAATACATGTTGTTGTCATGCTTTTTGATGATTTATATGTTGAAGATAAGGTCTAAAAATGTCTTGTTCATTAAATTTGCAAAACATTTTTCCTCAATGAGTTAGTTGTCGTCGAGTAGGTCTTCATTGGTTGAAGTCTCAGGTGCTAAGATTTTAGATTTTGGCTTAGCAATGAGATCTCACTTAATGAATGCATTTCATGTGATAATTTTCCAAACAAATCTCTAGTAGTATTAGTGTTGTATAAGAAGACAAAATTATAATTTACTCCATGAGTACTCCACATGAAATATTTTATTATCATTACCATTTTTGAAAGACACTTATATAAATATTTCACATAGAAACATGTAACTTTTTCAATCGTAATTGAATAAAAAAAAATTATGATATGAAAAATGTTAGTTTGACTATTTTTTTATTTTTTATTTACATAATAAATGTCCTACATTAGTTAGAAAAAAGAAAAAAAATAAAAAGGTAATCGTGAATCACGTCATGACTTATAAAAATTAAAATAAATAAATAAATAAAAGTTGTGGTTTATTGAACCTCGAAATTTTAATAATAAAATAAACGAGGAAGGCCTCGAATTAAATATAAATTTTTTAACAAAAGTTGTAGTCATCTTTACGACTTTAGTAAAAAGAAATTAATAATTAAAGTCTTACAACAATTTATGATATATATTTATTTTATTATTTTTATTTTAAAACCATTATTTTATATTTAAATAATAAGTCTTGTCACGACTTTACTTTAGCAGTCACGACTTTCACGATTTTAGAAAATATTTCAAATTTCTAAATAAGATTATCCTTAATGACTAAAAGAAAAACACTAAAGTTAACATCAGATGAATTAGAATAAATTATTACCAAAAAAAAAACGAATACATCGAGTTTCTTACACATTGCACATAAATTAGGAAATAATGAAGAAAAAGAAAAACTGTTTGATCAAACAAATCATTACAACTTTTTCTATCCAACTTTAGTTAACACTACTAATCAATACATAAATTTCATAATATTAAATCTCCAAATAATAATTTACACACAACAGAAAAATAAACTCTTAAATTACTTGAACTACTAACTAATTTCCTATCCAATAGTTATCCATTCCAAATCAAGGTCCAAATTGATAATATCTCTAGGGCAAAACCAAACAATAAAATGTGCTCAACGTGTATTTGTGTGTAAGAATTTCATGTGGCCCTCTCAACTCAACTCGTTTATTACGGCCGGGTAGGGATGTTTGTTTGTTTGTTTTTTTTTTTTTTTTGCAGTCAAATTTTTAAGTGCAATCACTAAAATATCATTCTTGTAGCATTCTTTTCAGAAAATTAAAAAGAAAATCAAAACAAAAATGAAGTCATTTCTGTGTGTATGTGTTTCAAATTAATTTTAGTTAAAATTAATTTCAATGCAGAATAAATCATGTTTAAATATTTTTATCGTAAATTTCTAGTAGTTAACAAGTAATCATCAGCATGTCCTGCATTTATAGCCAGATATGACGTGCTTTTTCACATCCGGGTTGAAACTTCAAGTGGTAACTTTTGCATCTTCATTTGACGTGATTTCTTTGCTTTCAAACGAATTTCCAAACACAAAATGTAAGCAGCCTGTTGCATTGTTCCTCCTATGTACAAATACACCCTCTACTGAAAATAGTAGTAATATTTAGCCCTAAACTCACTCCAATACGTTCTTTACCTACAATTATCGTAGCATACCAAATAAAATTCTGAACATGACGAAGAACATATGATTATAGCCAGCTTCTCCTTCTCCAAAGAGAGTCGAATACTATTGGGTATCCTCCGAATATACGATGTTTCCTGGCATAAAAAATATATATTCTGATACATCGTTGTCACACTTCTCTGGAGGAGGGATTTTTCCACCAATAGGTTGATAATCAGAAGATCAAACTTACATCTGCTAGAAAGTAAGAAGAGAAAGAGGTAGGGAGGCACAACGCAAATAGCATTAGATAGTAGAACAGAGTAACTAGAACACGATGAATAAAGCAAACGGGTTGCATTTTTTTTTCTTCTTTCGGTAAATTCAAAAATTGCAAGTTGATGGGTTCAACCATAATTACCTGATTTAGATATTGTTATTGAAAGTTTCATATTTATGATTATAAGTAGAATAACATATTATAGTTATTAAAATATCTGATGATGTGTAAGAGAATTGAGAGATTTGTTTTGCAACCTAATAAATATATAATTGCAATTATGTGAATCCAAAAAAAAAAAAGTTTTTTTGGACATTATTAAAATTAAAATTAAATTTATAAAACATTGTCATCATAAAACATTTCTTACGACGTATTAAAAAAAATATACCAAAAAACCACTTATTGTCTATAAATAAGAATAGTATTAATCTCATTCCTTTTCTAAAATCATCTACAGAAAAAGATTTTCATCTTTTTCATCAAGTAACAACGCTTCTATGTTTCTATATTATAGATATTTCTATATTTCATAAGTAACAATAATGATTTTCATAATTTTTTTAAGGCTAGAATACTTCGTAGATCCGTATCAGTAAAATATCTAATAGTATCGATATCAAATATGAATAAAGAATAAGTGAAGCAAATTAAAGTATTGTGCATCATACTTAATATCAAAGGTGTAAAGATGGTTAACTAGTCAAGCAAATTATTATGCGCTATTCTTGTATTGAATTATTTTAGGCATTACTCGTGAGAAGGCGAGAGAGATTGTCTTATAAGAGATCCAAAGCTATGCCTTCACAAAGTTTTGACAAGAAAACTAGAAGAGAGTTGTGGGATGGAGGGAATTTATTGTGTCACTTGCAAATGTCGTGTGATGCTTTTCCTTAATTAATAGTAAGCACGTGAATATAAAGATATGAATTATGATATTTCCCAACACCTAGCCATTGCGAGGGCCTAATAAATGGGGGTATAGATTGCTAAACCTACTTTTTGAACAGGCTCTGTCCGTGAAAGGAATAAAATCCCCCCTTGAATAGTATTAATCTGACGTTTAGTGATGAAGCCTCCATCATCGTGTACCCAACTTAGTTTCAGCATTCCTTACAGCTCTATAGAGATGGACATATAGTTATGGTTTCCTCTAAATTTGGCATGTAACTTCTAAAGGTAGAAACAAAACAAGTCAAGCAAATTCTTGTGTAATACCCAGATAAGGAAATTGTCTAAAGCATGAGAGTTAGTGTTAGGAAAACAATTCAAATTTTCAATTTTAAATATCTAAGATATTGTTCCCGTATAAAAAAAAATATTATTTGTCTTTAGATATTATTTAGAATTAAAAATATTGTATTTATTTTAAGAATTTGTTTTCTCTTTTAAGATTAGAATGTTAGGTCAACAATAGAAGCCATTGAGATGAGAAAAATCACTTGACTTGTGGATAGAGTCACTACTTTAAATGAGAGAGCAGGGCATATAAAGGAAGGTTTGCTAAGTTTTGTTAGAAAACTTGTGTTGAGTGTTTTAAAGTTTCATCCACAAAACTTGTGAAGAAGAGATTTTCAAGTTTCACTCATAAAACTGGTAAGGAGAGATTTTAAAGTTTCTTTCACGAACCTTGAAAGGGAGAATCTTTAGAAACATATATGTAAATATATTTTGAGATAAAGAACATTCTTGTGAATATAAGGATGAAGGACCAAACCACAATAAGTAAATTCATAGTAGTCAATAGCGGCCGGAGCGGCCTCACCCCGTAATCTCGCTGCTGTCGCGTGGCGGATTTGTGTAGCGGCCGGAGCGGCCGCGTCGGAGGCGGAGCGAAGCGGCACAAATCGCGGAATCGCGGGCGCGATTTCGACTTACCCTTCATTAAGGGTAAGTCAGTCTTTTCAATGGGGCTTTTTTTGCCCTAAGTCTCCCTTTCCCTCTCGCGATTGTGCGTGCAGCTCCGACGAACTCCGGCTCCGACGCACCTCCGTCGCCGACGCGCCTTCAGCTCCGACGCACCTCCAATTCCGACGCGCCTCCCGGTCCGACGCGCCTCCAGCTCCGACGTGGCCGCAAGCTCCGACGCGCCTCGCTTAGTTCGTCTTCTCCTTCGAGTATTCTCTCCTTTATGTACATTGCAACATAATTTGTTTTTTAATTTTTTATTAAATTATTATTATTTTTTTTAATTTCTGATTAAATTTAATTCAACAAATTTTATTTTTAAATTCTGATTAAATTTAATTCAACAAATTTTATTTTTAGTTTCTGATTAAATTTAATTCAGCAAATTTTATTTTTAATTTCTAATTAAATTTAATTCAGTAAATTTTATTTTTAATTTCTGATTAAATTTAATTCAGCTGATTTTATTTTTAATTTCTGATTAAATTTAATTCAGAAAATTTTATTTTTAATTTCAGAAAATTGTATTTTTAATTTTTGATTAAATTTAATTTATCAGATTTGTTTTCTGATTAAATATAATTCAACAATTTTTTAAAATTTCTTTTCTACTTTGTTTTGGAGACATTTTATATTATGTATTGTTTGAGTACTATGAACTTTTAATTATTAAAAAGGTTTAATGTATGAATTTAGAGTTATTTTTTTGTTTTTTTAGCTTTTATATATATATTATTAATTATTTAATATATATAAATTAATATTAAAATAGCGGTTATCCCGCTCCGCGTCATCCCGCTATCCCAGTTTTAGGGTCGACTGCTCCGCGCCGCTATCCGGGATTGACTACTATGAGTAAATTTTATGCGATCTTTCTTTAATTTTATGGCATTTTGTGTGTACCTCGTCACTGTTGCGTGTAAAAGAGAAAGAGTTTTTTTTGTTTTCAATAGTGGTATTAGAGCTCATACTTCGTGCAATTTGGTGACTTGTCACTTGATTATTGAAAATTGATATACAACAATTCCAATACTCGCAAAATGGGGACAAAATATTGTAGAGCAAAAATATTATTGAACATGATTGTGAAGATCAAGATCAAGTTTGCCTCAGATTAAAGGGCTAGACCTTCACAAGGTTTTGAGATGTAATCACGTGATGATTGTGCATCGAGGAAATTGAAAGTTCTCTGCAAACATTGACTTGTAGTTTTAATGGTAAATTTGACTTCTCATCCAAGGACGAGTTAGGCCAAACCATGTTAAACTTTATGGATGATTTGTGTAATGCCTTTACTTATTAGAATTTATGCAAGCATGTGAACAAGGGATGTGGCATTCCCCAACACCCATAAGGTCATAGTTCCTACTAAATGCGGGTTATAAAATGCTGAATTAATAAGAGAACCTGTTTTTCAAGCTTGCTCTGATCTTGCAGAGCCTGAAATCTCCTTTGAATTAATTTTAATCTCTGCCAGAGGATTAGTGATGAAACTTCCATCACCATGGACCCCAAATCTGTGGCTATGATGAAAGCTTTCACCATTCCTATTAGCCCTGTACTGACTCAAAGCTAGTGATGGAGTATCACCAGATCTTGTGAATCGGTAGGATGAATGGTGGCCCTGTGTTTTTTTCCAGAATTTGGAGCTTAAAAATTCAGCACCAGGTAGCAAGCAACATGTATTCTTAGGAGCATCAGATTTAGTTATCCTTCCACTTGATATAGCCAAATCATAAGAAATCTCATCCAATGCCAACTCGAGGCCATGCACACGAGTCTCTAAGGAACGCATTCCATTTTCAGAGCTCCCCATGAATTTCTGTAAGAATATGGTGGACATTGTTAGACATGGTCATCTTTCGTGAGTTGGCACACAGGCTACATATAAGTACACATATAAGAAAGGAGAAATTTAAACACAGCATGGATATTAACCAGTATGCATTCTTTCCAAAAAAAAAAAAAAAATCACAAACATAAGTTGATCTAAACAGATTGAAAAACTTTGTCTGAGGTAAAGTGTTCTTAAGCATATGGAACAAACCTGTAGAAGATCAAGCAGACCTGACTGCTGCTTCTCAATTTGAACTAACTGTGCTCGAATCAAAGATAATTCCTCGCTCTCTTTGTCATTCCTAGGGAGATCCTTAGTTACATTACAGACAGGACCTGAGTCTTCACTTTCTTCAGAGCAAGGAACCACACGAGATCCAGCTTTGGACCCACCAAACTTATGCATTTTGTCATCAGAATTTTTATCGAATAGAGCCCGTTTTGTTTCCGACTTAAAAAATCTGCTTTTATCCTTTTTGCTTTTCTCCAAAACATCTTCATCCCTCCGCTGAGGTTCACCACGATAAGGAACATTTGACACAGCAACTCGAACATCCCAATGGTTATGGTTCAGTTTCTGCAAAACACCTGAACTCGCCCGATTGCCACTTAATGCACTCATCCTTTTAGCATTCCTAGCAACAGATCTATCTGGTGGAGTTGATCCGCTAACCGGGCTCGATTTCTTCCTCAATTTACTCATTACAGAGCCAGGACTACATGAATTTTGAGAGACAGGAGGATACCGCCCATCACTAGCAATCTCTGAATCATAAAAGACAGCCCAAAACCACAAAACACATTATAAAAACAATCTATAACCACAAAAAGAAGAAAAAAAAAATCAAGATAAAAATCTTAGATAAAACAACCCTACATCGACCACACAACCTTTATTTACCCCGATCTCCTTTTCAAAACACAACGCGATTAGAATTTCCTATTTCAATTTGCAGAAAGTGATCTGACCCTTGTCAATCACAGTGGCAACAAATCCAAGCAAAAAACTAGATATAAATAAAACGATAAATCAATACCCTTAGAAGAAGACAGCGATTGAGGAGGTGGAGATATTTCATCCGAAACATCAGGAATCTGCTTCCACGCCTCCAACATCTGAATCATAACCTCCCGAACCAACTTTACCTACAAATAAACATAACATAAACTCAATTTACTTCCAAACACCGTTCCAGAACAATAATTGCATCCACAATAATTGCAACCGCAATTGCTTGCAATTTTAGTAATCTAACACAAACACGACTTCAAGTTAAAATCTCCACAAATATGTCATTTGCTTAAGGCAATTCTGTACGAATCAGATAGTTAAGACGGAAGTTAAAATCTCCACAAATATCTTCTGCGAAGGAAATTCTGTTCGAATAAGATAGAATTAAGAAAACTTGAAAAACCGTAAAACCTCGTAAACACCTTATCAAATCGCCGATCCTCGAAAACTTTCAAACATCCATCCTTGAACTCCGGCAAGAGGTCCCTCTCCGCAACCGCGAGTTTCTTCAACGCCTCCGCCGCGCCCTTCCTGGTGGCCCAGTCCTCGCTGCTCAGCGCCTCCACAAGGCAGGGAACCAAATTCCTCAGCGCGGCGCGGCTCGCGGCGCCGCCGGCCTCGACGACGCTCCCGACGAGCGCCAGCAGCGCCGGCTTGGCCCTAAACACCTTGCTCTTGAGAAGCTTCTCGAACCTCGGGAGCAGCCTGGCGAGCCTGGGCGCGTCCGGATCCGGAGCCGCGGCGATCGCGGCGGCGAGGCAGAGCGCGGCGGCGGCCTGCGAGCTCGGCTCCTGCTCCGTGAAGAGCGCCTCGGCGAGCGGCTTGAGGAAGGAGGAGAACGGCTGCCTGGTGACGCGCGCCGACAGTGCGGCGACGGAGTCGGCGCACGCAGCTCGCACCGAGGAGTCCGGGTCGCGGAGGCGGCGCACGAGGTTGGCGAGGATTTTGGAGAGGAAGGGCGAGAGCGCGTTGGCGTGCGCGTGGGAGAGCGTGGCGACGAGGTGCACGCATTGCTTCCGCACCGGCGTTTTGTCGGAAGCGTCGGTGGAGTGGATGCATGAGAGGAACACCGGAACGGAGTGCGGGTGCAGGGTTCGCGCGATGGAGTCGAGTTCCGTTGCGGCTGCGGCGTGCGTGTCGCGGTCCGAGAGCTTGGTGAGGCACGTGAGTACCCTCTGCTTTGTGTTCTGCGTTTGGGCTGTGGTGGGAGGCATTGTCGTTTAAGCCTGCAACGACGGAGCTGCTTTTAGTTCCCACCGCATTGCCCGTGGTGACTCTGAGCGGTTGGTTTCGCGCTATGGTCCTGCATTGTGCATTCAATGCGACAACGCGTTCTTGCCCTTTTAACTGTCACGCTGGGAAATGGGAATGAGAACGGCGTGTCGTTTGTTTCTTCTGTTGGTGCAGGTAAAACGACACACGATTTGGCGTTTTTGTTTTTGTTTTTTTCACAAGAAAACTACCACTACCATTGCTCTGCTTACTGCTTAGGCTTTTGACCCCCGCAGATTGAAGGGTTATTTAAGATAAATATGAATGGGAGTAAATTTCCTCGGGACCATGGAAGTAATGGCACCACTGGTACTCATGCACTATTACCTCATGGTTATGGGAGCAATGTCCGCTGGATTTCTTCTTGCATAGCCACGTCCAGAGAAATATTGTGCCAAAAGTAGATTATTAATAAAATGTTTCAATATATTTTTATTCTTTTAAATTTAATGTAAATTTATTTTAAGTTTTTTAAATATAAAATTGATGTTTTTAATTCTTGTCATTTTAAAAAATTTTATTTTAATTTTTATATTTAAATTTTATTAAAAATATATGTTAAATATTATCACATAAAATTTATCTACTAATATTTTTATTAATAAAATATTACATTAAATTATGTTTATTCTACATAATTTTTTAAACTTATCATTTTTAAATATATTATTAATAATTTGAGAGATTAAAGCACAATTTTTAAAAATTTCAGAGATAAAACGAAGAACTAAAAATAATTTTATCAGATCAAAAACATTTTAAACTTTAGTACAAATACGTTGATCGGGTTGAGAATATATAGTTGAACACGATTTTATGTTAGACACAAAGAATTATTGAAACTGAATTTTTATTTTTTAATAAATTCTTTTTTATTCTCATGATTCAAATTCAAACTCTTGATCTTATATCAGTAAAAAAAATAAAAATATTATAAAGAAATTAACATTAAGAATTAAAAAGATAAAAAAATATAATTATAAAAATTAAAAATATATATTTTTAAATTATAAAGATTAAAAGATAAAATAAATAAAATTATTAAAAAAAAGTATTTTAACCTAATGTATTTAGAAGAATCAATAATCTATTATTTTTTTCAAACTTCATTGGTAGTTGAGACAAGTAGTACCTTTAAAATTGATTTCATATTTAAATTGAGAATCAAACTTGCCTTAAGTTGAGACAAGTAGTAGTACCTTAAATTGAAATTTGCTTGATTACAAAACCTTAATTAAAGGATCTGAGCGTAGTACTACTCGAACAAATAATTGTCTTTCAAATTTTATTAAATTTACACTAATTTTCTTGTTTATAAAATTTAAAAATCATTTCACATCTCAATGTTATCGTAAACTCCTAAATATTTTAATAAAAATAACAATTTAAGAATTTTAAGTAAATCAACAAAAGAAAATCAAATTCACTTAATATGAAAAATACAAAAGCTTAATTAATTTTAAAAAAAAATTGAAAGACCAAAATTGTATAAAATTACCATTAAATTTAATAAATAATATTATCTTTAGATTTTAAAAATGATAAATAATAAAAAATAAAATAACATATAAAAATGAAAACAATATACTTATAGAGCAGAAATGTTGGTAAGAGTTTCATATTGAATATAATAAAATAAAATAAAATAAAATAAAATAAAAAAAACTTGATATGATACTCAGTTACCAACAGTGGTGCAGCTTGATCAAAAAGTTTGGAGGGGCCAAAATATTTTTTTAATATAATCTTTTTATTTATGATTTTAAATATTTAATAATAGGTTAAATACTTTTTTTATCCTTACAATATTTTTTTGTTTCAATTTAGTTTTATTTTAATTTTAGGTCTCAATTTGGTCCCCAATAATTTAAATCGTTCCAATTTGGGACTTCCGTCTAAATAATTTAAACGGAGTTAACTGGTTGCCACGTAGATGGATCCAAAAATACTTGAATACACCTCGAACCAGAACGGCCCGTTCTGGTTACACTATTGGTGTGTAAAATTTGCACCTAGAACGGGCCGTTCCAAGTCCAAAATTAACACACCAACAGTGTAACCAGAACGGGCCGTTCTGGTCCAGAATTTCGTGCGAAAATAACTAAAATACAAAACATTTCAAACACTAGATTTAGTAATATTGTTAATGAGGATTAATAACTTCAATTGCTAAACATTTGGGCTATACAGTATATCATTAACGATGATGCAGTGTATCACTAAGGACAATGGTAACAAGTTTTATTTCATTGTTAGTCAAACTGGAGTAAACCACTTACTACCAAATTGACACTATACAGTCAAGGATAAAACGAAACAGTGTTTTTCCTTGAAGTCATTGACGATGTACCCCAACAATAACAACCTGTTCTTGAGGAGGTACCCCTAAACCAAGATTTTGAACTGGATAAGTTCAAATCAAAGAAGGATTTTAGAAGGTCTTATCTTATTTGATTTTTTTTTTAGTTTTATTCATAAATGAATATTAATTTATTGTATTTTTTATTTATTATATATTTATTAATATAGATATAATATAAAAAAATACAATAAAAAACATGGCGTTCTGGAACGGGGCGTTCTGAATTCAGAACGGCCCGTTCTAAAAGCAGAACGGCCCGTTCTGGTTTCGGAACGAGCCGTTCTAGTTTCAGGTTTTTTCCAGAATTTTGGTGTCCACGTGCGCATCCACGTGGCATCCACGTAGATGCCACGTAGCCAACAGTTAACTCCGTCTAAATCATTTGGACGGAAGTTCCAAATTGCACTAATTTAAGTTATCGGGAACCAAATTGAGACAAAAAATTAAAGTGGGACTAAATTGAAACAAAAAAACATTGTAAGGGACCAAAAGATGTATTTAACCTTAATAATATTATTTAAATATTAACTATTTCTTAATTAAGTAATTGTATGATATTATTTTTTTCTACTTTATTGATATACTTACCAAATAATTTGTTTTACAACCTTCATATTTTTGTCTTTTACTAAATTAAAAAGAGAGAATTTATTTATAAATTAATCTTGTTAAAATTTAGAAGTCACGTTAAGTTGTAATTTTCAAAACAAAATTTGTTTAAAAATCAGTAGAAAATGTAAAAATTTCAATAGTTTCTTCAATAAATGTAAGGAAATGATCATATTTTTGTCAAAATCATAACACAATTTAAGAAAATAATTTGTAAGCAAAATCAAAAAATTCATTAAAAAAATAATTTAACACGTAAAATCAGAAGAAAATAATATTGCAAGTTTAAATTATATTGATAACAAGAAACTTTCCTATATATATATATTAAGAATATAAAAATCACAAATAAATGAATTTAAAGAATGTAGAAAAAAAATAGTATAAAATATCAATTAATTAATGAATAATTCATGTATGAAAAGTATTATTAATATTAAAAATTTGTTATAAGTAATGATGTTATAAAAAAAAAAAGCAAAAACTTATTTACTATAAAAAAATTCAAAATTTATTTATTTAATGGCTAAAATTATTAATAATTAATAATAAAATTTAAACTATTATAAAATAATTTACTACAAATTAAAATTTAAATACTTTTTAATTATATATTTAAAAATTAAAAAACGGAAAAGTTTGAGGGACCATTGGCCTCCTTTGATCCTTCCTTAAATTCTTTGTCATTGATTATAAAGTTCTTTCACTTAATAAATTAGTATTTTATATTAAATTTGTAACGATCTGCCATGATCTTTATATTTAGTGGAATCGCACTACTACTAGTAAACTAAGAGATATATTAAAATTGGATAACTCATACATACAGAGTACATAAAATATAATAATAACTAAGTTTTCTAAAAATAAATTATAACATTATATATACAGTCATCCCAAAATAACATCACTCTATTGTCGGTCAAGCACACACAAAACAGTTACCCAACACGGTAACTCTAACACGAGGACAAAACTCCCCGTCTCGCAGCGGTCACCTCAACTCCAAGCTAGCCCTGACCTGCTCCCATACAAGTATGATCATTGCAGTCCATCCACATGGAAACAGAAGGGTAAGTTAGAGTTCAAAAATCAATCATACAAGTATATAACAAAATCTATACTACACATTCATCCAATCAAGTTCCAAAGGAACTTTCATCTCAATCAATCATCAATTCATCAAACATGAAGTCACACCACACACTTCATCATAACATCAATCATGCAATAACATGCAACTCATGACAGATATCAATGCATATCAATCATCTAATGCGTCGTCACGCATACACCTAGGAGATCTCCCTAACAGTAAAGCAGTGTAAGTGACATCCCAATCCTACCGAAACCACCCCAACCGTTTTCACACCCAATGCGCTGCTCGGTCACAACTAAACAGGTTAAAAATCCTCACTCGGGTTTACTCGAATGATATCACTTACACAATTAGAAGTCCGAATCCACCGTCAGGTATATCACAGTTGGGTACAGGCTTAACACGACCTTGGCATGCATTACCAAGTCACTTGTGGAGTTCGTCCACCGACTATCTGCAAGGATCCACGCACCTTCCCAGTACTTGGTTAAGAGAATAACCCTCGATCTCATATTCCGTTCCAACACTAGCTAAGGACTTAGAGGAGACTCACCCAACCTAGTGGCCTACCTGAGCACCACTCTCACCCAAATTCAGTGGCTTACCTGAGCACCACTCTCATATATCAGTGGCCTATCCAAGCACCACTCTCAAGAGACTCTATGTGAGCTCTTCCAGTTTGAAAACATTTTTCCTTTCCTCAAGTCCTAGGCTAGACTCATGCCATAAGGCATCACATGCAATTATGCATCATACATCATACATGGTCTACCCACCATCATGATCAACAATCATACACATGTCATAAGGCATCACATACAATAATGCATCATACATCATACATGGTCTACCCACCATCATGATCAACAATCATACACATGCCATAAGGCATCACATGCAATAATGCATCATACATCATACATGGTCTACCCACTATCATGATCAATAATCATATTCATATGAACATATACACATGCCATATCATATTTAAACATTCATATATATATCATTACCAAGCATACATATGAATCACACCTCACCATACATCATATATCATACATACATGATCTAAAACTTCAACTTTAAACATGCATGAGTATCAATTTCGATCCAAAAACATCAAACCCACTCACGCCTAGCGCAACCAAATCACGCCCGGCCTAACATCCAACCCGAGAGCGAGAGCCCTAAGCTCTTCCACACCCGAC